TTCTTACTGAGCATGAAAGCTGTGTAGCAAAGTGTGTTCATGTGGCTGAATTGTGGGTCTGGAGCACATGCAGAACAGAAAGCGTTTGAAGCCCTGTAGATGAGTTTGGGTGCAAATTCTCAGTGAAGTCTATGGATGGTAACAGTGGAGCTCTCCAGTGACTTGGACTCCTTGTGGGAAGGAGGCAGAGGCACCTCTCGTTGATGGATGCACTTTTCCAAACATTGCTTGTCTCTTGAAAATCATGGAGACAGCTCAGGGGCTTTAACAAAAGTGAAGAAGGGAAGGAGTTTCACCCTTTTGGAGCTAGATGTCCAGTAGTGGTCCCACACTGAGGCAAGGTTCCAGGAAAAATTTTCCGTAATGAAATTAAGGCTAATGTTGTGTATCTCTCATAATGTATCCATGTTCCTACAGGTAAAACTTCCATTTCTGTCCAAGCTCTTAATTAAATGGGAAAGACAGTGTTTTGGGGTTTTGTTTTCTGAAGTTTTTGTTTCCCAAATTAATCTAATGTAACTGCAGATGGAAACTTGCCACACACAAAGCCTACTGACAATTCCTTGCTTGAAAAATGAATAGGATCTTCTTCCTGCTTGTGAAGACTTGGTACAGGCCTGCCAGTGGAATCCTGAACACCTACATCTCTTAGATGTATTAGAGACCACCTTTGCACCAAAGCTTAGGTTTTACTCCTTAATTATTCTCTTTTTTTTTTTTAATTTTGGAATGCTTGCACTACTTGTAATGAATTATGAAATGCCAAAATTTGTAATTTACTGTGTTCTCTCTTTCCCCAGTCGTCGGGATGACATGGAGTCTCTAGGCTATGTATTGATGTACTTCAACAGAACCAGTCTGCCTTGGCAAGGATTAAAGGTAGGTTGTGTTGCACTTTTTTCCCCACCCTTCCCTTTTTTCATGTTTGGGTACTGTGCTTCTGCCTGCTGGCCTGGCTTGGTAGTTGTATATAATGTTTAGCTTCAGTCACACAAAGCAGCGTTTCCCAAGTTGTGATATTTATAGAGTGTAGAAGAAAGGTTCTTTCTGCTTCTTGTGCAGCAGGCAAAATGTGTATTGTTTAACTGTCTTAAAATTTATGCTAAACAATAGCTTACGTCACCTTTGCAAATTGTTATTGTCCTGTTGTAGGCTGAGGCCCTTTTTGGGAAGTAGAAAATAACATTGTTAGTGGCTTTTTGAATTGCTGTAGAGAGCATGGAAAAAATCTCTTGCCTAGCAAGTTCAGCTCTAGTGGTATCTTCAGTCCCGTTTATGGCATGACTGAATAATTACTAGCTGCAACAGGCTTGCTCCAAGTATTTCATGTATTGTAGCCAAGCACAAGCATGGCAAATGTTTCTTATTTCTGTTATATAGACTTCAGTGATTTGTTTTCATGTTTGAATTGTTTTTCTTCCTCCCTATGAGTTGTGTAACTCAAATGGTGTTGCAGCTGCAAGTTCTCTAAAGGCAAGCAGCTTGTGAAACACTAGAACTCTTCAACTGCAAGTAAATTTAATGGCTGCCTACTGAAACACGCAGGCAGCCCTTGAACGGGGTGCTGAGTGGGAATTAACAGAACTTTGGCAAATACAAACGCAAGTCTGGTCTGTTTAACGGACAAAGGCAGCAGCTAGAACTACACGAGCTGTGCCATGTGATGGAAGCATTAGACTGCGACAAAGGGTATTAAACTGTGTCCAAATCTTAATACCAGATTGACCTTCATTCTCTTTGCAATAAGTGTGTGGGACTTGGAGATTTCACATAAAATACTTCTGGTTGACCAAAGGATTTTTGTCCATTTTTTTTGCTACTGTCCTTGTTAATCCAGTGTTGCACAATATCTCTCATATTGTGACCTACATGTTCCACAGGCTGCAACAAAGAAGCAAAAGTATGAGAAGATTAGTGAAAAGAAAATGTCCACTCCTGTTGAGGTTTTGTGTAAGGTAAGAGTATCCAAATGTTGTCATACTGTGAAAGGGAATTTAATTTCTTGGTGTTTTTTTTTTTTTTAAAGTAGAGCCAATATGAGAGTCTCACATATCATTTGCTCCTGAATAATACATCTCTGGCAGTCATGGGTGCTTTGTGTTTGGCTGCCCAGCTCTGAGTGTGTGTAACAGGGCAGGCATTTGCTGCTGTTTCTTGGCATAGTTTGTGCAGTTCATTCCAGTTCTTGGTGACTGTCAGCTGTGCAAGCTCTCCAGCCCTCGTTGGTGAGGCTTCTTAGTCTTCAACATCTACAGTGACAGTTGAATGTCGTGGATAAATAAAACCAAAGTAGAGCTGTACAGCTTGTCTGTATATACTTGTGTCTGCCTCTTCATGATTAGTCATATTGTCTTCTCTATCTCAAATGGAGGCTGTAGTGGAATTGGATCTCAAGTGATCTTTAAAGCCATGTCACAGAATGATTCCAGTGCTGCCCTTTGGGTCTTCAGATTTCTCAAACAGCCATGTGCCTGTTAACAAAGGTCCTTGAGAACACGTGGTAGTTTGTGCACGTCACACTGCAGCACCAAGGAGACTGCGCTTCCTAGTCACGCACATTCATATACCCTGAGTCTGACAGCATCTTCCAAACTGCTGAACACCATTATACACTGTTTTCTTTCACTATGTTCTATACTGTTAACTATTTAACATAGCATTGTGTGTATAAATATGTAAAGCCAGGGAGTTTTTGATAGTTTTTCATGGTTTGCCTTCACACTTAACAGTGGTAACTGACCTTGCCTCTAGTATGCTCAAGTAGATTACCAAGGAAACATGAGTAGAATCTCTTAAGAGACCATTGCTACTTATTTCAGAGACCTACTTAATAAGAACTAGGTTTAATTGGGGTGAATGAAGTGCTTTAAATATGTTGTATTTTGAAGGTTTTGGTTCCAGAGAACTTATGATTGCGAAATGTGCATCAGGTAATAATTCTGGGGAGCAAAGGTGTACCTGATAACTTGCTGATCAAATCCACTTCCTGAAGTACAGAATAAATGAATAACTAGAAGCAAAGTAGGATTTACGCTTGTGAATCTTCAGGTGTTTTCTGCCCGTATAGACAGAAACACAGCTTTTTGCCTTCTTACAGGGTTGTTAGTAGCTTTTTGCTGCAAGCCATGGCTTGATTAACGCTGTTGATTTACAGGGGTTCCCTGCAGAATTTGCCATGTATCTGAACTACTGTCGTGGCCTGCGCTTTGAAGAGGCACCAGATTACATGTATCTGAGGCAATTATTCCGTATTCTTTTCAGGTCAGTCTCAAAGTGGAAAAGTACAGAAATTAGTCAGTGCTTTACCACTTGGTACCCACTCTGCAGGACTTGCACTGCAGAAAGCTGCTCTGTATGTGTGTGGTGTAGGGAGGAGTTTTGGGATTTTCTTTCCTTGCAGTGTTTGAGAACCTGTTGAAAGGACATAAAAATACTGAACGATGGTAAACATGAAGGAAAAGGTTCTCTTGTTTTTGCATTGCATGATCTGGCCACTGATGCGAGAGGGTTGAGCCCATGCTTCAGGTTGTTGCAAGCAGCTTAAGAAGCTGACCCCTGGGTAGAAGTGTTTTGAAGGTTTTTATGTTTGGAGATTGGTGATGGGACTAACAGTGGTGCCCAGGAGAGGGACTTCAGTGGAGGGGAATAGTACTGTTTCATTGAGCTTGTTGGAGAAACCAGAACATAAACTCAGCCCTGTGGAGTGAACAGCATCTGTCAAAAGAAGAGCTGGTTCTGGTCTCTCAAGAGTCTCCCTCCAGGCTTCTGGAATCCACAGCCGTTTTTATTCGCTGATCTACAATGCTGCTGTCTCTCCCTAAAACTATGTGTATTAAACAGCTGGGAACCTCAGTGCAGGCGGATGGGTAAGCTGGGTTGTGAGGAAGTGCTGCTACAAATGCAGACTGTTGTGTGAGCAGCAGATAGAACGCTGCTTGGTGGTTTTTGGGCTTGCCTCAATCCCTTTAAGTTAGTGAATACGAAGTGTTTATATACCTTTATAATCTTCAAAGCAGCTTACAGAATGAGCTAACCTCTAGTTCTGGGTTTTCAGCGAAGGGTTGGTACTAGCAATAAGGAAGTCATGACGTGTTACAGTAAAGTATTTCACTCTTTTCTAGGACCTTGAACCACCAATATGACTACACATTCGACTGGACAATGTTAAAGCAGAAAGCAGCACAGCAGGCAGCCTCTTCCAGTGGGCAGGGGCAGCAGGCCCAAACCCCCACAGGCAAGCAAACTGACAAATCCAAGAGTAACATGAAAGGTTAGTAGCCAAGAACCAAGTGACGTTACAGGAAAAAAAATTATACTAATTTGGACGATGTCAGCAATTTAAGTGTTAGATCAAGGAGGTGGTTTAAAAAAATATATATTTGGCTGTTAATTTAAAAAGCAAAAACAAAAAGACGTCCTTGGAGAATTTGACTACTAACTTTATACCAAAATGTCCTTGTTCTTCATATCATTTCTTCTGGGGATGTTGGGTCATTTTAACCACTGCATCTTTTGCTCCCACATTAACCACTTTCCAAAAACCAGAAACTGACTTGGTGTTGGGAATGTGACATTTTTATTTATTTTTATTTATATATATGCATATATAT